GCCGGCCGCCCTGACGCCCCGCCCGCCCGCAGCCCTCGGCGGCGCCGCCGCAGCCGCTCCCGGAGTCGGAGTCGCTCCCGGTCCCGCAGTCGCTCCCGCTACAGCCGCTCCAAGTCCCGGTCCCGCACCCGCTCGAGGTCGCGGTCCACCTCCAAGTCCAGGTCGGCGCGAAGATCCAAGTCCAAGTCGTCGTCGGTGTCCAGGTCCCGTTCGCGCTCCCGGTCCCGCTCCCGGTCCCGGAGTCCTCCGCCCGTGTCCAAGAGGGAGTCCAAGTCCAGGTCGCGCTCCAAGAGCCCCCCCAAGTCTCCCGAGGAGGAAGGAGCGGTGTCCTCTTAAGCAAATGGTAATGTCCGTGGGCGTCCGAGGCGCACGCACCACCCGAGCGCAGAGATGGGGTTTGCGGTAGCCGTTTACGATCCGTGTTGGTAGGAAGCGACTCCCGACGTCGGGAGCGCGGCTGTGAGCTAACTCGGCTTTGGGAGTAATTCTGAAGAGAGGGGTCTGCAGAGAGGATGTGCGTGAAGCTTAGATAATAATGGCTGTTTCGTGAACTGTTTGAGACCTATTAATGAAAATGACTATTTCTTGCTGTTTTTATCCAACGTCTGCATTTTCCCCCTTTAAAGCTGCGGTCTCCTGTTTGATAAAAGAATATTGGCCAGTATTGCAGATTTTAACTGATTTGGCTGATCCTCCAGGGACCAGTTTCTGTGGGCGTGTATTGGAGCAGGTTTGTCTTTAAACGTTAAAGATGCACTATCCTCTTAGAGAAAACAATCAGTTCAACTATTGTTGTACTGACTGGGACTTCATATTCTAACGGATGTGGCAAACGAATTGCAAAGCGGAGCAATGAACTTTTGGAACCCCAAAAAAGTTTACAGGTATCGCACTGGGTGGGGAAAGGATAGTGTGTCTTTAACTCTTAAATTGTTTGGTCCTATTTTTTAAAAGGAAAGGGCCCTAAGTAGCTCGAGATATTTAAAGCCTTTATTCTCAATTGCCAAACGTTTCATTTGAAAGCTAAACATTTATCGTAAAATAGACTGTCTGATTTCAAGTTTTGGTTTGGATACGGTCCTTTTTTTTTTTTTTTTTTTTTTAATTCCCCTCTCTCTTCCTTTTTTTTACCCCCTTCCCCCTCCTTTTTCTTTTTCCCTCCCTTATCTCTCACCTTGGTTATTTGGCCAAGATTGCATAAACACAAATTTGTAAAAGCGGATGGTTAGTCTTTGTGAAAATTTCCCAATTGGGCCTTTCTTTAAAAAAACTGATAATGGCTGGGTGGAACCTTTCCGTAACCTACTTGTTTCACCAGAGCCTTAGTCAGTACATGCCTGAAACTGAAACCATGTGCACTTCGGGTAACTTCATAGCGATGGAAGGTAAACTGAACTTTTTTCTTTTCAAACCTAGATGTGGCGACGAGCAACATAACTAAAGGAAGACTTGGGGGAAAAGGACCACATACTCAGTCCATCGAAGAGTCCTTGGAACAAGCAACTGGCTATTGAAAAGGTTATTTTGTAACATTTTGTCTAACTTTTTACTTGTTTTAAAGCTTTGCCTCAGGTGGCAAACTTCATTTTATGTGCCATTTTGTTGCTGTTATTCAAATTTCTTGTAATTTAGTGAGGTGAACGACTTCAGATTTCATTATTGGCTTGGATATTTGAGGTAAATTTTCCTTTTTGTTTATATAGTGCTGACTTTTTTTGTTTGAAATTAAACAGATTGGTAACCTAATTTGTGGCCTCCTGACTTTTAAGGAAACGTGTGCAGCCATTACGCACAGCCTAAAGCTGTCAAGAGATTGACTCAACATTGCCTTCATTCCTTAAAATTAAAAAGCTACAAAAGTTGGTGTCAGTTTGTTTGTATATGTTATTTACCTTCAGATCTAAGAGGTGATCTGAACCCAAATTTGTGTAAAGACTTTTCAGGTGAAAAGACTTGATTTTTTGAAAGGATTGTTTACCAAACACAATTCTAATCTCTTCTCTTGTGTATTTTTGTGCACTAGGCGCAGTTGTGTAGCAGTTGAGTAATGCTGGTTAGCTGTTAAGGTGGCGTGTTGCAGTGCAGAGTGCTTGGCTGTTTCCTGTTTTCTCCCGGTTGCTCCTGTGTAAAGATGCCTTGTCGTGCAGAAACAAATGGCTGTCCAGTTTATTAAAATGCCTGACAACTGCACTTCCAGTCACCCGGGCCTTGCATATAAATAACGGAGCATACAGTGAGCACATCTAGCTGATGATAAATACACCTTTTTTTTTCCTCCCCTTCCCCCCAAAATGGTAAATCGGATCATCTTCATGTATGAACTTAAAATGCGGAAAATGTTAAGGAAGCAAATGGTTTGTAACTTTGTAAGTACTTATGACATGGTGTATCTTTTTGCTCATGGATATTCTGTACCATAACCGTTGTTTTCTGTAGTTTAATTAAAACGTTTTCTTGGTGTTAGCTTTTCTCAGAATATGTCTTGGTCTTTTTTTCCCGTTTATTTGAAAGACCTGTGCAATTATCTTGTGAATTGTTACTGACTGTTATAGTATGAAAGCGAAATGTTTAGTACTTGACCTTTTTTTCCCTAAGTTAAAAAGTGGAAACCCCGTTTCAGCACCCACTACCCCTAAAATCCATGCTCTAAGGTAGCACTTTGCGGAGGTTGTGGGTTACCCTCCTTCTGTCATAGTCTAATTTATGTCGTATTTTTATTGATTTTTAAAGAACAGTCCAAGTCCTTTCTCTTACAGGTGTGTTTATTTTTGTTTTCATGGCTTTGTAACCCACGAGTGTTGTCCAGGTGACCCACCACAATCTTTTAAGGCCGACAGATCTGACCATCTTCAAATCCAGTGCTTGTACTCACTCCCAAGAAGCTAAAATGGTCTGAGTTCTAATTGGCACGATAGGTTGCAAATCAGTGTTGACGTTGCCCCAGAACAGCCTGTATGTAGGTATGATTCAGAGACTGTCCTTTTTTGCAAAGGAGATGACCAGCATTTCAACAGTATGTCTTCCTGGGAGGGCAGATTCTGCTATATCTTCCTTGTCTGCACCAAAAGACTCCAGAGGAATGTGGACACATTTCATATCCCACTTGTAGAGCAAAGCTTCAAGTGACCAGTCAGCACTGAAAAAGAAATAAATTGTTTTTTTTTGAAATTCTGCTTTTCCTGTTTTGCTTTAGATATATTTTTTTAAAGGTTTTTGTTTGAGACAGAGTATGAGCAGGGGAGGGGCAGAGGGAGAGCAAATCCAAGCAGGACCTGAACGTGGGGCTCGATCTCATGGGCCCCGGGAGATCATGACCCGCCCGGGGAATCCAATTCAATTTTTAACCTAGAGTACAATTTAGAGTAAAACCCAGGATTACGCAGGCTTACCTTCTTACCTGGTAAGTAGACCACAGTTGGACCTTGGGGTTCTTTTGCATCAAAAAGTATACTGTAGTTAAGATGTCTTCAAAGTCTGGGAAGAAAGGACTTTCCTTAAATAAAAGAACTTAGATCACCTCAGCCAAATTTATGATTGAAGAGCAAAAAAACGTTTACCTTCTGGTTCAAAGAACACATCAGATGCAAGAATGATGTCTCGTGGTGGCAGAGCCAGGAGATCCGGACATACGTGGCCCCACGTTAGTCCTACAACACGCACCTGTGGCAGGTTGTTCATTTCCAGGCTCTGACGGCACATTTCTAGGCAGTGAGGCAGCTCTGAACTGTCGGACAGTATTACCTCGGCGCCACATTTTGCAGCCACGATTCCTGGAAGGCTCACTCCGGCCCCAATCTGATGAATATACGCATTTCAAAGTTTTCCTTAGCATCGCAGGGAATTTGGGGTTTTAGTTTCCCTGAGTACAGGGTCAGGGAGTTAAGTATATTCTTGAGCTCATGTATGCACAGTGTGCCATAATTGGACATTGTCTTTGTATGTGAAGCTTAGGTTTTTGGGTTTGTAGAAATCAAGTGGTGTCTCTCAATTGGATTGAAAGGTTAAGTCCCATACAGGGCCCTAAATTCTGCAACTGACAATATTGCTTCCAAATTCCCATGGGCATCTCTGGCAGTTTATTGCTGAATATGCCCCAGGCAGTTTGGACACTAGTAGCATTTAGTTCTCTCACAGTCCATAAAAGAGCTCCTAATTATATGGGACACTGGGTCTCCAGAAGCTTGATGGGTGACTTCCATGCATACAGCCATTCTGGCTGTTACTACCAATTGTAACCTCTTTTATGTGGCTCTAGCCTGACAGATCTTCAACAGGGTTCATACTAAAGGAGATTTTCCAGTTGGGACTTCAAAGTGCTGAAGTCTTAAGCATACTAAGGAATAACTAAGGAATGCCTTTAGTGCCTATTTGGTTGAAGCACAAGTTTCCCATTTTCCAGTTTTAAGGACGGGTGGGGAGATTCTCAATCTGAATCTACAAATCGCCAGATACAGCATGCCAAGTGCCTTCACACCATTCATTTACGTGGTTCTGCAAAAGTTCAGAGGGGTTACAAGTTTTGGATTTGTCTTCAGCCTTAGGGTTTAAGCATTGTACCGTCTGCAAACTTGACAAAAGTTTTTTTCTCTAAGCCGTCAGTGGTCTCGAGTGATCAGGAAAAGTAGAGGACACTCAAGATTTCCAAAAATGGAAAGGGCTGTTTTTTGAGAAACTGCACGTCACAGTAGACCCCAAATGACCCAGTTGGGACACCCTGGAAAGAGGGCCTTAGGGATTGCTTCCATACCAAGATTCTAAAACTGAAATTAATCAACGGGCTTCACTTAGAGTAAGGGTCGGCAAACTGTAATGGGCCAGATGATAAATATTTTAGTCTTGGTGGGTCTCCTGTGGTCTCTGGTATACGTTCTTTTCTTACACAACTTAAAATGTAAAAAGCGTTCTTAGCTCATAGAACTTACAAGTGGGCCAAATCATCCGTTTTTAAAATATTAAACAAAAGCCAGTAACCAGCACATAGACTTAGATCTGAACATAGGATTCTTGGAAACCTCAGGGGCACTTGTACCTCTAAGACAGCCTTGCCTGGCAGAGATCTTCTGTGAAACCACAGGTACTGAGCCAGGACCACCGCACAGGGCCAAACATACATTCCGTACTGGAGGTGCAGGACCTGAAAAGAATTTTTTGTAAGCCAAAAATAACTCATCTGCTGGAAGTTGGAATATTTATTTTTACAGCAATTACTGAGTGCCTGACACTGGCATCTATTCCAAAAATGACAATTCCCTGCTGTAAAGTTCACATCCTATGGGGCATATGAAAGTGCAATACCACAGGATAGCCACTCTTCACTCAACAAGCATTTATTTCAGGGACTGGGAGTGATTTCGTGGGCTATGGATGTAAAGCTCATGGAACACACATGTACATACCCTACTAGGAAGAGACAAGCCACAAGTAAGCGAGTATGTTTTTGGCTGGTGTGGATGCTAACACAACGAAACCGGGTGATGGGAGTGGTGGGGGCAGGGAACGATGGGGGGACAGTGATCACAAGGCGGCTGTCCTAGATAGGGAGAACGGTTCAGACAGCACCCACAGCAAGCGCATGGGGGCTGGAGGCAGGGTTGTGGTAGTACAAGCAGAGGTCAAAGGGAAGGCAGGGACCAGACCTGTGTGGTCTTCTGGGCCACAGGAAGTTTAGCTTTTACTGAAAGTGCAGTAAGAATGTATCCGAGGATCATAATCACAGGCAGTTTGGTATGGTCCTGGGAAACAGGCTAGGGAGACATTCCAGAAGAGGTTTGAGTGCAGCTCGGTTCTGGAGGTAGGAAGGCGGGCAGCATACAGAGCCTTTGCAAAGACACGGAATTGCGAGAGAGGCCAATTAAACGGCTCACGCCTTTGGAACGAGCCTGCCTGAGTTCAAACTCCAGATGTGTAACTGACTACCTGTGGGACCTCACCTGCCATTCAACCTGTCCGTGCTTCAGTTTCCGCCACCGCGAAACACTATCCCATAGGGTGATGGTGGAAGATTCGACGCAAACTTAGTACAGCACCAGGCACAAAATGAGCACACACCTTGAGCGGTTATTAAAAGACTGCAAAACCGCAGGTCTGTTTTCTAGAGCAAAGGGTGCTGCTTGTGGTTGGAAAGGGCGCTCGAGTTTTCAAAGTACCAAAGGTGAAGGAACTGGAAGTTTGAACTCAAATCATTCAATTCACTCTCCAAAATTTTAGTGCCTAAAATATGCTAGGCACTGGGTCTTAAGTGTAGGGCGTGCATGGTGAATAAAATGCCTGCCCTGGTAGCTTTCACCCAAGATACATTCAAGGGTTTCTGATCACAGCAGTTGAGTTTGCCGATTTGGGTGGAAAGAGGTCTTTCTTCTCACACGGAGTATCTTCACCTCCTAAATGCGGGAAGAAATCAAGTGGGTGTTTCAACGGGAAGGCATTTAAAAACTGTTAGAAACGGTTTCACTCGAGACTTTACCTCCTCTTAGCCATTTATCATCTTTAAAATATTTATTTATTTTGAAACAGAGAGACCGCAAGTGTGAGTGGGGGAGGAGCAGAGAGCGGGAGGGAGAACCCCAAGCAGGCTCTGAGCTGAGACGACCACCCGAGCCCAAATCAAGAGTCGGACGCCCCCTTGAATTGTTTTGCTAATACCTACTTCACACACTGCTGTTCAAATCTAAACACGGCCACGTCAAAATGCTTCGAAAAACCGGACGCATAAAGTATTACTATTATTACTGAGAGTTTGGGGCAGCTGTAAACCGGAAGGAACGGGTGTCAACCCACGGAACTTTTTTCGGATAGTGAGGGTAGAATTCCCGATCCTAGATAAAGGTGAATTAAGAAGCCCTTCTACTAGGTCAAAGGAAGTGTTCGGTGTCCAAAATGTCACTTTTCGGGCAGGAAATATTTGATGCGGAGGGCTCTCTTCCTGGCAGGACCCCCAAGTTTCTTACTTCAAGACTGTCAGAGGGCTTCCCACCGCGATCCTTCCCGCTCGGAGGCCCTTCCTCAGGCAGGGTAGCCGCCAGAGCCCGTCCCCCACCCCCTCCCAACACCGCCCCTGCTTCCCCCCCCACCCAGGCCTCTGAGAACAGCTCCTGCCCCGGGCGCCACCGCAAGCGGCCGGAGGCGCCCCCCGGCGGGTGCCGCTGCACGCACCTGCGGGACGCTGACCTCCAGCACCGTCCCCTCAGCCCCCAGGCCCGGCTCCTCTGAGAACCGAAAGCGCTGGGCCCGAACCACATGCCCTCGAAGGCCACGCTCGTCCGTGGGGGAGTCGGTGGCCCCCCGGCGGGCCGCGAGCAGCGGAGGGCGCCAGGTTGCCAGGCTGCGCACACGGGGGACCCCGGGGTCGGATGGAGCCGCCTCACCGGCTCCACGTGGCCCTTCGCGGGCCCCGTCGGGTCGCCGCAACGGGACAGCAAGGGCGGGGAACACACCCCTCGGGGGACGATGTGGCCGTGCGGCAAGAGACCAAAGACCTGGCAGAGAAGACAGGAAAGACAGGTGGCCTCGGCTGCTCGCACGCCGGAAACGGGCGGCGGAGTGAGCGCTCGCTTCCGGAAGTGACGTACCCAGCGGAAGCGGGCGCGGGAGAGGCGGGACCGCAGGGAGGAGGTGCCTCCATCGGCCTGACCTTCCCAACATGGCGGCGAGCCGGGGAGTGTGAGGGCGGACCCCGGAGGCGCCCAAGCCAATGGCTCACCGCGAGAGGCCCGGGGGCGGGGAAGACGACAGCCGCGTGCCCAACCCGAGGCCCGGGAGGTGGTTGCGGAGTGAATCTTCTGGAAGGCGACTTTAAAGGCGCCGGGCCAGAGCGAAGGGCGTTTCGGTGCCGCCGCCGCCGTCGCCGCCGCCCGGGCCGGGGAGGGGGCGCGTTGGAAGCAGAAAGCGAGCTGCGCCGAGGTGGTCGCGGGAGCAGCTGGTGACCCGCGCAAGATGAACCACAAGAGCAAGAAGCGGATCCGCGAGGCCAAGCGGAGTGCGCGGCCGGAGCTCAAGGACTCGCTGGACTGGACCCGTCACAACTACTACGAGAGCTTCTCGCTGAACCCGGCGGCCGTGGCGGTGAGCGGGCCGGGGTCGGGGTCGCGGGCCGGGCACGGGCGTCTCCGGGCGGCCGGGGACCTCTCCGGGCGCGTCTCCCCCGAGTTCCGATGGGCTCACCCGCACCCCGCGGAGGTCGGGGTCATCGGGGGCCGGATTCCGGGGCCGACCTCCTTCCGCCCGCGCCGTGGCCGCCGCCTGTCCCGGGGCAACTGGAGGCTGACGCCTTTGGCGCCCTCAACGAGAGCTGTCGCCCCTAGACCCCTTTGGGCGGCGGCGCCCTCTGGGACCTGGCTGTCAAGGCCCACGAGTGGGAGATGCGTTGCCCCCTTCCCCTGGTGGGGCGGCGCTGGGTGCGACGTGTCAGTCCGCACGCAGGTCCTTATCCCTTCCCCTCCGTCCCACCCCCCGCAAGATAAGCCGGAACGAGAATCTGACTTCTTAGGTATGTCATAGCTAACTGGACCTGGGGGACGCCGTCTACCGCTGGACTTTTTGTTGTGTTGCTTTTGTCTTTTTCTAACTGGATCGGTCTTTTCTGATTCCCCCAGGATAACGTGGAAAGGGCAGACGCGTTACAGCTGTCCGTGGAAGAATTTGTCGAGCGCTACGAAAGACCTTACAAACCCGTGGTTCTGCTCAATGCCCAAGAGGGCTGGTCTGCTCAGGAGAAATGGACCCTGGAGCGCCTCAAAAGGAAATACCGGAACCAGAAGTTCAAGTGCGGTGAGGATAATGACGGTTACTCAGTGAAGATGAAGATGAAATACTACATCGAGTACATGGAGAGCACTCGAGATGACAGCCCCCTTTACATCTTTGACAGCAGCTATGGTGAGCACCCGAAAAGAAGGAAACTTCTGGAAGACTACAAGGTGCCCAAGTTTTTCACTGATGACCTTTTCCAGTATGCCGGGGAGAAACGCAGGCCCCCTTACAGGTAAAGTACTTGGGGGTGAAGCCCTTAGGCTCTTCTGTACGACAGGATGTGTCACCTGAGCGCGGTCAGCCAACCTTTTTCCAGAACACTGAGTGGTTCTCCTTGGCTGCACATGGAACTTAGGGGGTTACTGCTGCCTGACCAGGCCCTGCCGCCACAGACGGGTTTCATTGGTTTGGGTTGCCACCTAGGCATCAAGATTTCAGAAGGCTCCCCAGGTGACTCAAACATTCAAGCAGAGTTGAACTACTGATCTTTAAGGGTGGCTTCTAATTTTTTTTTTTTTTTAACGTTTCTTTATTTCTGAGACAGAGAGTGAGCAGGGGAGGGGCAGAGAGCTGGGGAGACACAGAATCCCTTGCAGTCTCCAGGCTCCGAACTGTCAGTTCAGGGACTTAAATCCACGAACCGCGAGATCACGACCTGAGCCGAAGTCGGATGCTTAACCGACTGAGCCACCCAGGCGCCCCAAGGAAAGTTTTAATAGTTAAAGCCCAGTAGTAGGCCACATCAGTGATTTTTATTTTTTTCTGTTATGGAGCACTCCAGGCACGATTCGTTCAGCGTTCCCTTGTGGCAGGGTCTGCGTGATCTCTGAAATGGAGGTCACGTAACGTGTTTTATGAGACCAAGAACTCACTGTTTTGTAGTATGTGTGCGCAGAGTCAGTTTATCCTTCACATCTTGGACGTTTCTGTCCTTCAGGTGGTTTGTGATGGGGCCGCCACGCTCGGGAACCGGAATTCACATCGACCCTCTGGGAACCAGTGCCTGGAACGCCTTAGTTCAGGGCCACAAGCGCTGGTGCCTGTTTCCTACCAGCACGCCCAGGGAACTCATCAAGGTGACCCGTGAAGAAGGAGGGAACCAGCAAGACGAGGCTATTACCTGGTTTAGTATCATCCATCCCCGGACGCAGCTTCCCACCTGGCCGCCTGAATTCAAACCCCTGGAGATCTTACAAAAACCAGGAGAGACTGTCTTCGTACCAGGTATAGAGGAACTGAGAGAAAGCACATTGTTTTATTTGTCATTTGGGAGCAGAAGTAAATGCAGACGGAGTCAAAGAGGTCCCCCTGCATGCTGACTCTAAATGAACTGACTGGTGCCCGCCTCGGACAGTGAGGTCTGTCGCTGTGCCATCAAGCACTTAGGGGGCCGCTGTCCACATTTCTTGTAACCTGAATCTATAGTGGTTGTTGGGAAATTTCCTGTATGTAAAGAGTGTGCCCATCTCTGTCCCTGGTAGTTACCTAGTGTCTTTGTGGATGTGCGGTGACTTGTGTGTATTTCTGCAAGTTGGGTTTTTAATACAGTGTAGCACTGGCTGGGTTGAGTCAGGAAATAGGAACTTGGGGCCAAGAGGCAGGAAGTCCCATACCTGAAAACTACACTTCGGAAAAAAACAAAAAAACGACATTTTGTTATGATAGGTTAAGTGTCGAGGGCAAGGGTGTTTAATATTTAAGATAGGTCTTATGGGGTGCCTGGGTTGTTCAGTCGGTTGATTGTCCGACTTCGGCTCAGGTCATGACCTCACAGTTCGTGGATTCGAGCCCCGCGTCGGGCTCTGTGCTGACAGCTCAGAGCCTGGAGTCTGCTTTGGATTCTGTGTCTCCCTCTCTCTCTGCCCCTCCCCCGCTCATGCTCTGTCTCTCTCTGCCAAAAAAAAAAAAAAACCATTAAAAAATAAATTTAAGACAGGTCTGAATAGGTATTGAGATAGAAACTGAAGAACTTACTGCTTTTATAGTTTTGATCACAGTTTTGGATCAGCAGGGGTCCACACGCTTTTTCTGTAAAGGGCAGAGAGTAAATATTTTAAGCACGGGGGTTGGGGGGCAGACAGTGTTTATTCCAACTGCTTAATTCTGCCCTTGGAGCAGGAAAGCAGCCACGGACAGTCTGGAAATGAGCAGGCACAGCTGTGCTCCAGGAGAAGTTTACACGGATTAGTTGTGATTCCTGGATCAGGAGAAGCATTTACCACGCTGGGTCTCCTGTCCCTGAGTCCCTCCCCGTAGATTGGAACCCGCTGTTGGCAGGGTTTTTGTCATTCGTGATTTTGTACGGAACCCAGCCCTGTTTAACTGCTTATTTGTTGGATTTCAGGAGGCTGGTGGCATGTTGTCCTTAATCTTGACACCACCATTGCCATCACCCAGAATTTTGCCAGCAGCACCAACTTCCCTGTTGTATGGCACAAGACGGTAAGAGGAAGACCAAAGTTATCGCGGAAATGGTATAGGTGAGAGACGTTTCCTTCTTCTTTTGCTTTGTTCCAACTCCAACCCCAGAGGCGAAGTAAAAAAAAGTCCACTGCTGCAGTAACGTGTGCTGGTCTGAGGCCTGGGAGAGCTGGGGCTGCAAAACCTCATGGGCAGAGGCCAGGGGGTCCAAGGTCAGGGCTAGTTCTCAGGATGCTTGCCAGCCTCGAGGCGACAGGGTAAGACTCTGCATGTTTGATCAAAGTCAGTCCGTCAAAACATGGCCATGATTGGGGTGTTTCTTTTGTTTTCTGTTTTGTTTTGTTTTCGATTTTTGTCCTCCCCCCCCGCCCCCCAAAGGCTAGCACTTAGCAAAGGAAGCCATGTTGTTTGGGTTTTATTTTGGTTCTTTCTTTTTCTTACTCAGAAGCATTATGCCCCTTTGAACTTACTACCTTCAGTTCTTGTGAGCGAGGTGACTGCCCTGGAGACTTAGCTCCTCTGTTTATCCACAGAACAGATACAGCACGGGCAGCGGCAGTGCAAGCCACCCCCAGCCACCCCGTGCCACTGTGTCCCAACCCTGACCTGGAGGGACCAGCTCTCGGGGTAAGAGAGGGATCCTGGCTTGGTCAGTGCTCAGCTTCCCTGCTGAGAGGGCCAGCAAGGGTGGTGGCTTTGTTCTCCCCGGACCCTCGGGCACCTGCGGCCCACTTACTTTGTCCCACCGGCCGCTGTATGCCGTGACTCGGTCGTTCTAAAGGCCTTAACCGCACAGCAGGTGCTTTCTCCCTGGTTAGTGCGGACGCCAGATTAGGTCCCTGAGGGGAGGGTTCCCGCCTCTGAAAGTCCAGTTCAGGTGTATCTTCGAGCGAGGGGAACTCTCTCTGTTACTTGATGCTTCTTATTTCTTACAAATCTTATTGTTTCTCCGCTTACGAAGGGAACTTAACCGAGCCCGACTGCAGTCACTAAACGCTGTGTTGTGGAAAGGAAGGGTTTAGAAAATCCACTAGGAAAGGTTCAGGAGGAAACAAACAGAAAAAAAACACAAGGAAGAGAGACTTTTTCTCCCAGGTGGACGAAAGCGCAGCCTGACTCAGGGCAACTGTGCCTCACACGTTGGCATTACAGCCGGCTCCTTTGGGAAGGTCAGAGTGAGCCGCGAGCAGCCAGTTCGCCTTTCCGGAGATCCTGGGCGGCAGGCACGCGGGGGCTTCTGCTCGCGGCCTGCGGGTGCGTGTGTCCTCACCACGTCCCCGTCCAGCACTCCCGGGCGCTCCCGAGAGAGGCAGGCCTCAGCTCCGGGTTCGGGGTTAAATGTGCTCGGTGTGCTCGCCGGTCCCAGCGCTGGGAACGATGTTTCTTGTCTCTCAGGATCTTGAAGCAAGAGCACCCCGAGTTGGCGGTCCTGGCCGACTCGGTTGACCTTCAGGAGTCCACGGGGATCGCATCCGACAGCTCCAGTGACTCCTCCAGTTCCTCCAGCTCCAGCTCATCCGACTCGGACTCAGAGGTGAGGCCCTGCTCCCTCCCCAGGCCTCCTGGGAGGTCACTGGCAGGGGGACTCAGCGGCAGCCTTCCCTCCTCCTGGCCCAGAGGGAGAGAGAGCCGATTCCGCCAAGAGCTCCGGCTGCCACCCTCCCTGCTGTGTGGTGAATTCCGCCCAGTTTGTAGCCTCGCGCGTGCGTGGGGGGTCATCGCAAGAACTTTGGGAGGCAAAGGAGTGTTAGGGGATCTCGCTAAGTGAGCGACCCAGGGTCACACAGCTAGCAAACGGCAGCGCGGGCGTTCGGACACAGAGCCTCGCGTCTGTGCTGAGAATTTTCCCTGCGGATGTGACCCGTGAGCCTGGGATCCGCGCAAGCTCAGCGGCTTGTTAAAAGCTAACGGGATACCGGGGAAGAGGGACCTGTGCCCTCAGCGGGTGAAATTGCCGTCCTTCCGCTTCCCAGAATCTGTCGATTTGGTGTTCCCCAGGGGGCGGGGGAACGAGACTGTGCAGGGCCCTATGTCCCCTCTCTCCCGCCTCGGGAGTCTGTGTCCGCGCAGCGGGATCGCATAATGCGGCGTCAGAGCGCCGGCTGTAGACCGTCCTTAGAGCCGCGTCTTGATTCTAAACCCGTAAGCCCCCCATCAGAGAACGCTGGCGGGCCCCCCGGCGTCTGGGGGCAGCCACGGTGTTTCCGGGGCTGGGTAGCGGGGGCCGTGTTGCGGAGCCGGCAGAAGCGGCTGCTTCGCTTCTGGGAGAACCCGGACATTTGTGCCGTTTCTGGAGGGCGGAGGTTTGTTGACAGACCGGGTTGCATCCGGTCAAATTCCTGCTTTTCTCCTCCCGTGTCCAGTGTGAGTCCGGGTCTGAAGGGGACGGGACGACGCACCGCAGGAAGAAGCGGAGGACGTGCAGCATGATGGGAAACGGGGACACCACCTCCCAGGACGACTGTGTGAGCAAAGAGCGCAGCTCCTCCAGGTGACCACGCACGGCCGCCGTCTGCGTAGGAGGGACGTGGCCACACGAGGGGCGGGGCCCTGGGGAGGTCAGCCTTTTGGATCCGTGGTCAAGGGGAGGGCCGGACAAAGGCAGAGAATGAGGCCGCTCTCGGAATACGAGTCCGTTCACTCGGCCTTTGCTGCAGTGGCTTTTTTCACCGCTACCGGTGCAGATTAACGTGGCTTCTTTTATGCCGAAAGGCAAGAATCTGTGTGGATGGTGCCAAGGACACCCTTAATGTTATTTAATAAAAATTAAATCCGTTTTCTATCCTTGCCATTTTTTCCCCTCGAGAATACCAGAAACCCCCCCTTGTTATTCTTGCGGCCTTGGGGGACAGCAGGGACTCCGCTGGCGTGCGCGCTCAGCAGGGAGGCGATGGTTACAGCTGTACAGGCGGCAGCGCGGGAGAAGCTCCCCATGCCTCCTGAGGGCCTGAGGTGTGGCCTCCTGGCGTTGTCCCCCACTGCCGTCGTCCCTTTGAGCGCTCACACCGAGGGAGACGGCGGCGCAGAACTCGGGTGTTTTGTGAGGTCTCCGTCCCGTCTCCCACGCTCGTTCGAACCAGAGTGGATCTCAATAAGCGAACGCTTAAAGTCACTAAGGTCATTTCTGCCAGCAGTGGCCCTGTGCTGGGCACATGACGGGCTTACAGGGAGGGGGGTTGGTGGCTGCCGTGCGCCCCGGGGCCCGGATCCCAGAGCCCCTTGCCACGGTGCGAGTTGCAGCGCGTCTGCGACGGGGAGACGTTCCGGGAAGGTAGTCAGATACTGAAGCTCCCACGACTTTTTAAGTGTCTGAGGCCCCGGCAGTGCCGCGGACGACGTCCCTGTCGCGTCCTTTGTATCTCTGAGCAGAGTGTTGTCTTCAGTGTGTTAGGAAAGTTTAGGACCCATGTTCCTTTCTGTCTGTTTCCCTCGTCCTCTGCAGTCACACTGGAATCCCACGAGAAGTTCAGGTGTCCTGTTCACCTGAATTTGTGGGACTAGAACGTGCATTCCTCAACCCAGTCGCCCTCTTCAGGCCGCTCTTAGATTTCACTTCTTGCCTTTTTAAGGCGTCTGTGTTGTCGCGGACTCACTCCTACCTGCCTGCAATGTGTGACTTTGTAACTTGGAAGGGAAGGTCGTAGGGACAGCCCTGCCCTTAATGCCACGTGGGGTCTTGGGGTTCGGCTTTAACGTTTCCTTCCAGCTTTGCACCCGCTGTGCCGTCTACATGCTGATTACAGGCAGTTGTACTTTCCTTGGCAGGATTAGGGACACTTGTGGAGGCCGGGCTCACCCCTGAGCAAAGAGAGAGACTGTCCCTGAGGTGGTTCCTGCGTACGTGGTTGGCGGCCACCTGACTCAGTTTTCACGTCTTCTGCTCCCTCCTTCTCCTCTGTCTTCTTTGAATTTGGATCATCCTTCTCTGGTCCAAGCTTCTGTCTTCGGTCAAATGCTGTTTTCACTGCTTCCTAAGAATAGATGGCCAAGAAGTTTAAAAGCTCACGACCCTCAGTGAAACCCCGAAACGCTGCAGGCCCGTGGGCCCCTGGGTGACAAGGCCTGTGCTGTCTCTGAACCACGCTGCTCCGCCCTGAGGCCGGAGGGTCGCCATCCCGGGAGCAGCCGGCTGCATCTGACCCCTCACCGACCGTTGGTGCGGAACCTCTGCGGTCCAAGAGCCGGCTGCCCACCAGCGGGCCCTGAGGGGCGAGCGGACTCGGATTTGCGTGCGAGCCGGTTACGCGTACGAAGTGCCGCGTGTGCGCCACCTCCCCGTGTCACCCTTTGTCCGAAGCCGCGTGGCGGTGACCCAGCCGGCACGTGCGGCACCGCTCACCACCGCGAGCACTGTCTTGTGACGCGTTCCCTTCTCTCCGCCGTCGGAGGGCCTCATGCGTCCCGGCGGTGTGTGTGTGCCGAGTGTCCTAGGGGGAAGGACGCCGCATCGGGGTTTGGGTTGGGGACAGAGCAGGAAAGGTGTTCAGTGCATTCTCATCACGGAACGTGAATGAGGAACGGGACTGCCTCCTGACAGACGTGTCCTGGTCTTTCCTGCCGCGTGATCTGCTTTGCGAGAGACGTCGCGATGAGTGTCCCCGTTCGTTTGACCGGCAGACACGAGGTGGGCGCCTCGGGCTGCACGTCTGGAGTGAGGTCATATACGGTGCTTCTCGCCTTTGGGATCTTGTCTGGGCTTCCAGACAACTCCTCCGTGAACGCTTGGGGATTGACCAGCAGGTTCCACGTCTTGCCCTCTTCATTCTTATCTGCTTGCCTTAATCCGTCCCTGAATTCAACTAAACTTAAAACTAAAAGGGGGCTTGGCAGGGACGTGCCGTCTTCTGGGTGGGAACGCAGGCCAGGGCACGAGCAGCCGGAGGGCAGAGGAGCTCTCACCGTAGTCTCCTGGGCGAGCCGCGAGGTGTGTGCACGCATCCTGGAATCGTGTGGTGTCGCCTCCCCCGGATCCTCCCGACACGTGGCTTTAATCTGGGGAACCCAGGTCTCTTCTGTGCAGAGGTTACATTTTTAGCAGAGTGGTTACCATTTCTCGACACTAGGTCGGTCGACACTAGAGTGGCTTTACTCTAGGAGGTTGGGCCCCTATTTTGTGTTTTCTGCATCCTCAAATGCCAATGCAAAGAAGCGGCCGGATGGGATGGAGAACATCTGCCGCCTTCCTCAGCGCTGGCGCCCGTCACCCGCCCTCCTTTCCCCGCCCGGCCACAGGGCTCGGCGGCCCCGGGCTCCAGGGTGTGTGTGCGTGTGAGTAAAGTCACACACGGAACTTGTAACCTGTTTGTATTAATACCTGAATGGTGTTCCTCCTCCTTTTTAAAATTTTCTTGCCATCTTCAAAATAATTTTTTCATCTCCCCAGTATTGCTACGGGGCGATCGCACCTTCCTCTCAAATTCGTACCAACCTCTCTAAGCCTCGGTATAAAGGAAAACCAACAAAAGCAAAAGGCTATTTGCCGCCAGGGGGCGTACAGTGGCTGCGACGACAGGGTAGTTTAAATTGGAGAGATTAGCCTCCCCCCCACCCCCCCAGAGGCTCCAGCGATGGGTGATTCCTGTTTGACAAACAATACTCAGAAATAAGGGAACCAGCTCATCTGGTAGGCTCGCGGTCCCTCCACCTGAAAGCATCTGGCTCACACAGATTCCATGCTGCCATTGGGCTCTCGCTGGCCCATGAATGACCATGGACAGTCTTTGTTTTAGCCAGGCCGGGATTCAGCACCTCCCACGCCTCCCCTTTTATTGTCACCGTGGGCCAGCCGAGCACACCAGTGTGGAAAGAAAGCAGGGACGGGGTGCAGAAACTGAGAAAGGAGTGGAGTGATGGCCGGGTGCTCAGGACAAGGTAGAAAGTGGGGACCAGGGCCGTCTGTTCTGACGTCAACCCTTCTGCCCTCGTGGCCTGGGCTGCTCCACGTGCCATCAGCAGTAGCGAGAGAAGGATAGCGCATGAAACTATTTTCTAGGGATTCTTCAACTTAAAACCCAACGTGCTGGGTCCTGGAACGAGGGCTCTTGGACCGGTAACGTCTGATAGGAGCAGGTGGATGAAGACGTGGGTGGGGGGGGAGCCTCTGGGGCTTCGGGAGTGAGCACCAAGGGTTCTACCATCAGCCTGAGTATCCAGGGCCGCACACAGGTGCCTCTGGGGTCATCAGTAGTGCTGGGATATTCAGGGTGACACCTTTGAGGGGAGAGCCACCAAACGCAGGGACGTTGTTCACATTTGGCTCAGGCTCGCAGGTGCCCATTGATTAGTCATTCGAGCACCCAGCCTGCGTTTGAGTGCCAGCCACTGTTCTAGGTGCTGGAGATGAAGCAGTGACGAGTCCAGGTCCCTCCTCTCGTGGAGCTAAGGGACAGTGAGTGTGCCGTGGTTCCCAAGGGTCGCTGGTCGGGGTAGGTAGAGTCCGGCATATCCATCCCCGCGGCCAGAAAAGCAAGTTCAGACTTTACAAAATACAAGTTGATGAGATCTTCATAAAAGAACGTAATTAACATCATAGCCGTGTTCTTAGTATTTGGTTTCTCTTTCTAAATTAGCTAAAGATATCTAAGGGTAAGCAAGAAAGTTGCTGGTATAAGTTGCTTCGTGAACTTATTAGAGGTTCCGCCTGGATGTGATTTAGGACCTCAGATGAGCGTGTGGGACAGAGCGGGAGTTTTGCGGTAAATGTCGTAAAAAGTGCTTTCTAAGGACGTAGGCGTGTAAGTGCGCAGCTGTAGGTTCCTCGAATCCTGTGTAGCGTTTCCACAAGTAAGTCGTTTGTCATGTGTGCTGGTACTGTCGATGGTTCCCCGCGGAGTCTGGTTCCTCCTCACACTCCCCTCCCCACCTTCTGCCACAATGTTCCAATGATGTCACGTTCTATACGGCCAAACTAGACAAACCTCGTGCCCCGGCCCCTCAGGTGGTGGCTGTCATCGGTAGTTCAAAAACGTGACACTCCTCGTGTCCCCTGAGCACTGGCCCGGCCGGCTGTCTCCAGGGTGACTGGACAGTGCGGAAGGCCGGGGACCACGTGCTGAGTTGAGTCCTCACGCCTCCTGCAGCTGTCACACGCACCCAGCAGCCTCCTACGTCTGCTTCCATCTCGCCGTGGGCTCCGCCACCAAATGCCTGTGGCTCTGCCATTTGACTGGTATTTTTAACTTTCACTTGGATGAAACTTGTTCATCATTTTAAATAAAGCAACTTGGTTTGGAGTCGGGTTTTTTGCATTGTTCTGTTCTTGTTTCTTTCCGTTATTCATCCGATAGTTGATACAGAACGTGACCGAGTGTGCACAACGGGCCCTCTTACGTAGCAACTTTGAAACAGTGAGGACAGGGGACAAGGAAGAAGACCCGCTTAGCCCATAAGTCCCCTTGTGGTCAGAAGCCAGTAGCTAAGACCTAAGCCCCACTCCGCATTTTGCAGTTACGGGCTGTTTTTCATCGGTCACCACTGAAATTTCTTTTGCTTGTACCTTCGTGTTATGTGATGTGGCAGGATTAAGCTTGCCTTTTGCCCATTGGTCATAACTGGACCAGGAGGAAGCCTGAGCACACGCTAGCATCTTCCATTTAAACAGCACTCCATCTAGAGGCGCCTGGATGGCTCGGTTGGTTAGGGACCTCGGCTCAAGCCGTGGGTTCGAGCCCCGCGTCGGGCCCTGTGCTGACAGCCCGGAGCCGGGAGCCTACTTCCGATTCTGTATCTCCCTCTCTCTCTGCCCCTCCCCTGCTCACGCTCTGTCTCTCTCTCTCAAAAATAAATAAACATTAAAAAAAAAAATTAAACAACACTCCATTCTAGCTGCTTGGCTCCCACCAGATGGCAGCTCAGGCACTGTAATTTTTCCAAAACAGCAGTAAATGTATCCAAAGCAAAAACCGGCACCCTGTTTTTTCAGCTGGTACCTGACACGCTTCGTCCGCCCTGTGTTTATTGGGAGTGGGGGAGAAATACTTTTCAGGTCACAGCGTAGTCCTCTCAAACACACACTGTTCAGCAACAGAGCCCTGGAAGGATCTGGAAGGAACAAAACCAGTACACTTCCCTTCATTCCACCTTCGCTACCTTCCAGAATTACTCCAAGAGGAAAAGCCAGTAGGGGACCAGAGTGGACACAAGGCACCTGGAGCTGAGTTCCAGAAACAGCCTTTGGGGGGCAGCCACGTTACAAGGACGCCCGTGTGGAAGGCTGCTGGGTCTCAGCCCAGAAGGGGCATCCAGCGGCCAGGCTCGGGCAGTGTCCTCTGAAAACGCTGTGGACGTGTCCGGGGAGTGGCCGGGAGTAAAGCGGGGTTGACCTTCGCTTTGCACCGTCTTGCCGGCAGTCCAGGGCCACGGTTTAGGCGAGCCTTCCGGCCTCAACGGGCCTCGGCATTCATTCCGCTGGCGGTGCCAAAGTGCTGTGAGATGGCCTTCTGTACCGGGCGGAAATGCTGCTGAGGACGACGGTAATCTGAGGGCGCCCGTGGAATGAGTGTTGCAAGCCGGTTTTCAAAACAAAAATCTAAGCGCAAAGCTTAGGGGCCCGGGGCGGGGCTGGGACTCGTCCGGCCTCAGGAGCGCCGCCCCCAGGGGTCAGGCCCCGGGTCCCCCAGCATCGGAGCCACCCCCGGG